TGTGGAATTATTCCATTGAATTTTATGGCAATTATCAAATGCATGTTGACAAATGTGTGATTTATGATATTCTCTGTTTTTTATGTATGATTGGTTTTCTTTGAGTCTTTTCTGTAATGGTCTTGAGGTTTCTCCTATATAAAATTTATTGCATTCGCAAGGAATATAATATATTAATATATAATACTTGGAGAATACTCCAAATACATGCCAAGGCGTAAAGTAGCAACAACGCTACACATTAAAACTGATGATGGTGGAAAACACCGAAACGTTTTTTTAAATTGATAAATGAACAATAAATGACTGAAGAACCCAGGATTTGATTTTAATTTTGGAATTGAAACACAGTCAGGAAAGTACGTACAATATAATATAATATATCAAAATACCCAAAAGGAAGTTTGTAAAAAATTAATTCGCCTCAACATTATAGAACTTATCTACAAATTAAAAACTTGCAATACGCAGACGATACCGTTATTGTCGCCGACAGTCTGGAAAACCTACAAAATCTGGTTGAGTTAACAAGCATTTTCCTGCAAGGGATTGGCCTGGATGAACGTAAAAAATTCATCCAACCATCTATAAATTTTAATAACGATAATGAAAATACAGAATGCTAAAATGCTATATATTGTCCCTTCTATTATATTGAATGTAGGCTCGAATACTTAAATCAGAAAACATCAAGAACATAGAAGAGGTTTTTTAGGAGGATGCTGGTAATACCATTTGTTGACAGGGGTTCAAGTGTTTATTATGGTAAGCTAATTATTCAAAGTAAAATAAAAGGCTGAATAACGATTGGCAGAAGAAGAATCTCTTGGCTACACAACGTAAAGGAGTGGTTTGGTTGCACGTCTGCAGAACTCTTCAGGTTGGCGATTGATAGGGTCCGGGTATTGCTGATGAGTTCCAATCCCCGATAGGAGCGTAACTTCAAGAAGAAGAAGATTAAATGCTGGTAATTTGCAGTTTATTACTCATAAAAGTAAGCTCTAATTAAAAGCGAATATTCCTTAACTCGCTTTACACCATATAATTTCACACAATTTATTAGCCAATACATTTCACAATTTATTGATTAATATATTTCTCATAAAAGTACGTAGGAACTAATTAAGACCAAATATTTCTTAGCGCGTTTTATAGTAGAGACTTTGGCACAAAATATTATTTCAATAGTACTAAATCCAAAAGATGATTAGTTAAATAGGTTTTTCAGATATCAATAAATATTTTTGTCGCATTTCAACTCAACAAAACGATTTGTTGCAACTAAATTTATTTGCATCCCGACATCTTCTACTTGCACAATTAATTTTTGTAAAGAATGGTAAAAAGTTTCGATTTTTTCTTGAATCTCATTGAATCAAGTCCCACATTTTGGAAAGTTTCAGTGATATTGGTCTGCTTTGATCTTTAGAAATTTACATGCATTTATTTGAATCAATTGCCATAGCAATCTAGAGAACGTATAATGTTCATCGAATATTTAATTAATGTAAAATAACGTATAAATAAACATAATAAATCAAATAAGGAAGTGACGAATCAAACATGAACATTATAGAAAAAAACTCAATCATAATTTCATGACGTAATTTGGAAAACTTTATTTTTGGTCCAAATGAAATCTTACAATTTTGCTGAACCTCTCAGCAAGTTCGAGAATACCAAAGTCAGACAAGATAACTGGTTCTATTTTTGTTTCATATATTTTTACTTTTAAGCTTTCAATTTTAATCAGGGAGTTATCCAAGATCAACGAAAAGGGACGACAGGAGTTGATTACTATTTCCTGCAAAACAACGTCTTATCATTTTTTACGAAATACCACAAACGTGAATGTCCAGGTGTCATGGATCTCACTATCGTCAAGTCTGTATGAATAATCGAGAAAACTTGCAAGTTATTGAATTGCGACATTGTATTTTGAAAAAACAGTACTTTGAAGGTATTTATGTTCCGTAAAATCCTATTTTTATTTGTTGGCGACAAAATATGTTCAATAATTCAAATAACTATTAACTATTAACATAACTATACAATGTCTTGAAATTAATTTCAAAGAATAACAAAACAATTATTCTACTGAAACAAGTGGGTTTTTCGGGTTTTTAGGCCGTCGTTCGGTAGAATTTCTTCTTGACGTTTCGCAAGCACGTGTGGCTTGCATCTTCAGAAG